CTTCCAGCGCCATCCATGTTGCTGCAAATTGCATGTGTTTATCTTTTCTGAATGCTGAGTAATATTCCATGGTGTATATGTACCACATCTTCTTGATCCAGTCATCTATTTTTGGGCATTTGGGTTGTTTCCAAAGCTTAGCTATTGTAAATAGTGCCGCTATAAACATAGGGGTGCAGGTGCTCTTTGGAATTGATGTTTCTGTGTCCTTTGGGTAAATACCCAGGAGTGGAATTGCTGGATCACATGGAAGCTCTATGTTTAGTAAGTCAAGAAATCTCCACACTGCTCTCCATAGTGGTTGGACCAGTTTGCACTCCCACCAGCAGTGCAGGAGATTTCCTTTTTCTCCACAACCTCACCAACATTTGTTGTTGCTAGTTTTTTTAATATGTGCTATTCTCACTGGTGTAATATGGTATCTCATGGTAGTTTTGATTTGCATTTCCCTGATTACAAGTGATGTTGAACATTTTTTCATATGCCTGTTGGCCATTTGCATTTCCTCTTCAGAGAAGTTTCTTTTTAGCTCTTCTACCCATTTTTTGACTGGATTATTTTCTTTGTTTTTGTTGAGTCTCATCAGCTCTTTGTAGATTTTTGTGATCAGTCCTTTATCATTAGTGTTGTGTGCAAAAATGTTCTCCCAATAAGTGGGGTTTCTCTTTGTTTTTGTTATTGTCTCTTTTGCTGTGCAGAAGCTCTTTAATTTGATGTAGTCCCAGCTGTTTATCTTTGCCTTCACTATCACTGCTTTGGGTGATGTGTCTGTAAAGATGTCTTTGATGTGCATATCATGGAATGTTTCTCCTATATTTCCTTCTATGTAGTTTATGGTTTCAGGTCTTATGTCTAGTTCTTTAATCCATTTTGAGTTGGTTTTTGTGCATGGTGTTAGGTAGTAGTCAAGCTTCATTCTTTTGCATGTAGTGACCCAGTTTTCCCGGCACCATTTATTGAACAAACATTTTTTGCTCCAATGCATTTTCTTTGCTCCTTTTAAAAGAAATAGAAGAAGACACAAAGAAAGGGAAAGACATCCCCTGCTCATGGATTGGAAGAATAAACATTATTAAAATGGCCATCCTACCAAAAGCAATATACAGATTCAATGCTATTCCAATAAAAATTTCAATGTCATTCTTCAAAGAAATAGAACAATTATTGATGAAATTCCTGTGGAATCACCAAAAACCCTGAATAGCCAAAGCTCTCTTGAAAAAAAAAAGAAGGGAATGGAGTCATCACACTCCTAGACTTCAAACTATACTACAAAGGCATAATCATCAAAACTGCACAGTATTGGAACAAGAACAGACACACAGGCCAGTGGAATCGAATAGAAAATCCAGAAATAAACCCACCGATTTATGCTCCCTCATATTCTGTGTCATTATACACAGGCATCAGATGACTGAAGACAGCTTTTATACCCCACAGACCACTGAAATTAACCTAACATTCTAACCTCATACCTGCGCACTCTGCCTCACCTATTACTTCTTGTGAAATAGACTCTTGATTAAGTTTCTCCTTCAATCCTGCTACCTCCTCACTGATCCTGGTGCTTCCCATGTGGCCTTTGTGGTGTGATATGCCCCCTCTCTTGGGAATTGTCAACCACAAGCAGTCTTTTCTTTGGCAATAGTCTCCTAATCTTTTGGCTTCATCATAACTGCATAATTATAAAACCTACATTTTAAAACATAAGTGCCTACAAAAACTTTGTTCTAAATGCACATATGGCAGAAATCATTGACATTGACACAATCCTTGATTGGTCCCCATGTCACTGACCTGTGTTACTGGTTATTCTGATGAGGTTCTTCAAATGAACAACACTTGTCTTTATGAGCAGATTACATTGTGAGAAACGTTTGAGATAACTGAGAATTTTTAGTGTGTGAAAAGACTGGGAGTGAGGTGTGAAAGATGTATCTATTTTATTTAAGGTGTTGATATGACAAAGATAGGTTTGGACATAGACTTGTTCCGCTTAGTCTCAATGAGAAGAACTAGTTATAACTGGAAGTAAAGAATATGAGAAGGAAGATTTTCTCTCACTTTTAAGAAATGAAATAAACAATTAACATTGCTTAAAAAAGACCAGAATGAGCTAAGATGGGTGATAATGAGTTCAAAAGCAGTGCTAAATGGAGAATAAAAGCTTATCTATAGGAATATTCTATAATTTTTTGTAGTTATATAACAGTTGTGATTGTTTTTATTCTTATTTGTATTATTTCTTTTGTTTATTCATTTTTTGGGAACGAGACCATAGGTTTTATAAGTACAGAGTCTACATCTATTATATTTTACTATTGTATTCCCAGTCAATAGTATCTGTCATGTAGTAGCAGAAATAATAATTTTCTGAATAAATAAGTGAATAAATATTTGTTGCAATATCTGATGGGAAGTCACGTTAGAGATTTTTTTTTTTTATTTTTTTCATGTTTGTCTCAGGACTGTGAAGTGTTTTCTAAACCCAGTTTCTTTTGTCTGGTAGGCACACAAGTAGACTACATTCTTCATAATCTTTGCTGTCGTGGGGATCATCCCGATTGGCGAATGTACACAGGCCCAGCCCATGAAACTTAATGTGTAACCCAGCATGTTCGCGCTTGCTTTCCTCATCTTATGGTCATATGCAAAGTGTCCTTGTGTCTAAGATGACATGTGACCCACTGCTTTGACAGCTGCAACAAGAGCACATCATCCTAGCTATAAGGATTTACAATTTTAAAAAAGTAGGACCTGCTCTAACATTTCCCATTAGGGCAGTGATAGAGCTCCAGAGGTAATCAGTCCTCCACGTACTCTTCTTTTTGACTGAGACCTTATGATTTGAGCAACCAGACTGGGAGATTTCAGAGGGAGAGGCCAAGACCAGGCTTTTATGTTGAATTTGTTTTACAAATTAGGCTCTCTGGTCTCTGCTTTTTGTTTCCTGCCCAGCTAAGTCTTGTGTGAAAATCTGGGGAGTTATGTTTAACCTCTAATAGCCACTCAGACTCCTCCTATTGCGTTTGGTTAAATCTTTGGAGAAAGGAGGGGGAGAATGTTCTTCCAGTGCCCTTTGCCAGTGGCTGCCAGCTATCCCTCTTGCTGCTTATGGTAAAAAGCATGTCTGTATCTGGTGCCTTCACTGGAGAGGAATTTTCTCAAGGATAAAACCTGTGAAATGATGGCAAGTAGCCAGTAGGACAAGTCAGGTTACAAAAGGCAAATGAACCCCAATCTTGTAGTTGAAGCATTTGTTGAATGCTCACAGTATGCCATGCCCTGCTCCATGAACTTGGGGGGTTTCAAGGTCTATGAGACAAAGTTCTCAAGAATGTTTTTAGTCTCTTAGAATAATATTTACCTAACTAGTTAAATTGAGCATGTCTGACTTCAAAATATTATGAGAGAAATCTGTTACACAGCTAATCTGAGACACCTGCCTGACAGGATGGCATTAAAGGGTTTGCTTCACTTCTGCCTCTTCTCTGGTTGGGTCAAGTAGTAGCTGCCGCTGAGGAGTGTGAGGCCCATCTGGCTACTTCTTATATCTGAAATGTCTCACAGACACTATTCCGGAATGATTATGGGAAAATGTTGCCAGTTCTTACTCAGGAGGAAGATCTATGACTGGAACAAAGCTTTGTGCACAAAAAGAGTTAATTTATAATTTCTGGTAACACTATCAAAGGTTAATAATTGGCAACTTATACGATCCAAACTGAATTTGAAAATGAAGTTTCATTTTGTGTTTCAAAGCTGCTGAAGTTTCTGAAAAAGAAACTTTAGATGATTTTACATGAAAGAGTTCTGTGATCAATTGTTGGTGACAATTTGACATGAACCCAGAATAGGTTATGATAATGTATTTGCTATCTCTGAATAGTCACTATCAAAGAGATCTCTAGGCCTAGATTTCAGAATTCTATGAAGCATTTAAAAAAGATTTAACATGACTTAGACATAATCCCTTCTAGAAAATAGTAAAGGAGAAACCCTGCCCAATTCATTTTATGAAGTTTGTATTACCCTGGTACTAAAACCAGTACTTTTGACTTCAAAGTCAGTACTTATGAAGACCTGTTTAGAAGCCAAGGGGTATAAATGGGATTCTGACTGGAATTTCAGTACAGAGCTCTTTGTCTGCATCCTGAGAACAGGCTGCGTGGGGTCTGGATGTCTACAGCAGAGATGGCATTGAAACACACTGCAAGGGTTTCCACAGGTTCTGAAGACTGAAGTTGGAAGAAACTTTTACAGGTGGGCTATGGCTCATCCTGTCATACGGGTCAGTCAGTGCTTCTGACTTGCTTAAAACTACTGTCCTTGGAGCATTTTAGCTCTAGGAACCCCAAAGTGCAACAACTTCCAAGCATCGAAAAATCATTGGCTTCTCTTAGAACTGTCTTTTCCAACATCGCTGTGAATGTGATGATCCTCAATCCTCAGTCCTCAATCAAGTTTCTACTACAACTTCAGGTAAAACACTGATCATTCAGAAGTTGGTAAGCACTGATTTTGGATGGTGGCGCTGCTCCGTGATGCTCTGTTAAGAAAAAAATCAGATCTAGAGACACAATCCTTAATTATCTGAAAGTTTTCATCAAGTGTTGGGATTGTTACATCTATTTCCAACTTGCTGCAACTTATTTCAACCAAGTGTTTGCAGAGAAGTTGCTTATGACTGCTGGCTAGAGTTTCCTTTAAAAGTTCTAGTAAAGGAGACGCTGTTCTCATTTTTAATTGCAACGTGGTAAGCTATTTGGCTAGACTGCTGCCCGGGTCTTTTTTCAATGAGCATTTTTAACTCAGGCCAGGCCCTCAAGGACACAAGAATGTCCGGAAAAAAAATTTTACCCGTTGTTTACTGGAAAAGGGTAACTCTGAAGGTAAGAACCCCTGGATCAGTGCTTTCAAAACTGCCTATCTTCTTCTCCCTCTCCTTGTTCCCTATGGGGGAAAGAAAAAGATTAGGCAAGGCATTTTTCTTTTTCTGCTTTTAATTTTGTTCAGCATTAAAGGAGGGGACTTCATAAACATTGATTGTCATTTACAGAAAACATTCAGAAATCATGTGTGCATTATCAGGGAATGCTAACAGTATTCAACTAATAATTTACAGGACGTAAAATAAGGACAAAACCTATTACATTCTAAAGTAATATAAAACTCTTTTTTTTTAATTGTTAGGGAATGCTGTTTTATTCTAGTATATTTATAATAAAAAACTCAATGCTTACTTCCTAAATGACTCAGGCGGCAGTTTTACTCACATACACAGAAATTAGGGCTTATATATTAAACAAGGAGAGAGAGATCAGAAAGTTGTAAATTTTAAAACTATATATGTCACTGGGTTTATTTGTAGTTTGCTTTTGCCTCTATAGGCCAATAGTGATACATGGTAATAATGCAATTAAGCTCCAGAAAAATCAATGGTGACTATATGAGGCATTATTTTTTTACAAAAGTATAATTATTATGCTTTTTTAGAGTGAATACTTTTATCTTACATACATTTGCCAATGCAACCTTTGTGCATCGCTAACAGTGGTGTGCATGCTTACAAGAGACGCCAGCTGCACCCTCACACCCTGCTCCCCAAGGAGCAATCCTGGTACAGGCAAGCCCCAGACACCTGTGGTTTCAACTGCTGGGGGACTTAGTGTTGCTCTTCTTTACTTTACACAGTAGGCTGGAGCAAAGGTAAAAACATTAAATCTCTGAATGCTGGAAGAATATGAAAATCGTTTCTCTCAATCCTAAAAGCAAGGAAGCATTTGTCAGGGATTTCAAAAATATTGGAAAGTCTCATTTAAATCTAAATATCTTTTTTTATTACAAATTGATCATCATAAAATACTAGCCTTTTAAAGTCATATTTGGGATGCAGGAAAATCATCAGGTTCATCGGACTTGCTCCTTCCTGCCTGTGTTGTTAACATCTCAAGACACCTTCAATTTTCCTCCCTCTTGGTCTCCCCACAACCATCCCGCAGGTTCTTTACAACATTTATTTGGTGAAGGTCAGTTATGGCTTCAGCAAATGAGTGGTCTGACCTCAGGTTATTAATAAGAAATAAATGTGTACAAAAATATCTTGTTCATCAGAAAGCAGAGTTTGTTTTCCTTAAGCTATTCCATGCAGAAAGGATTTGGACATTTACTACAAGAAAGATGACTTACTCAGGCAACATTTTTTTTTTTAACTTTCCTTTCTCATATTGTCTAGTTTAGATAGAGTTTGCAGGTCTTAGACCAATATTCCATACAAATTCTTTGGAGCAGATTGAATTGACAGTCCTGTCCCTTCTCAGCTGTATTACAAAAGGAAGCATACACTTAACACCAATGACCCGTCAAGATGCTTAAACTGTTACAACCAGTTTCTGAGAAGTACATAACACGCAGATAGGAAGCAAGTACATATTTGCTCTTTGTTGATTTATCCCCCTCTAAAAAATTGTTACAAAGTCTTATCCTTAAACAGAGACATAGAAAAATCAGTGTATTCACTGTCTCCAGTTATTTACAGCAAAAATTACAGAGACAGCATACATTGTATTAGACCTTCCACAAGCATATATTAAAAGTAATTACATTTGAAAAAATATTTTTATTTTTCCTCTACATTTCTACAATACATACTCAGTTTTCTGTGGGTGTGGTTTTTCATTCTTGTGTGTGTTAATCAGATGAAGCAGACGGTACTGTGCTGGGATGTGGGATCTGTAGGTTTGCACAGGCACCTAATGTGTGTCTCTGTGTAAGGTGCTGCCAAAGGGAGTGAATTCTCTCCCTCAGACTCTGCCCTAAGAGTACAGTCTAATATAAAGGTTGTGCCACCCAGCTGGGGTGCAGCCCCCTGCGCTTTTTTCCAACTGGGTTTATTCAATTTCAGTAACCTTGTGCTTTATTTTTGGCCATGAGAACAACTACTGAGCTGTTTTTTCTGATCCACTGGAGGTCGTACAGGAGACCAAGATTACTATGGCCACTTCAGAGGAATTCACTTCGGAGGAACTTCAGCAGCTTAGGAAAAAAGTGCACAAACTGACAAGCCCCATCTGCTGCATAGGAATCTATGGTCCTGCACTTCAGAGCAATGGAGGACTACATCATCGTGACTGCAGTATAAATTCTTTAGACACAACTAATGGGAAACAAAACTTGGCTCAGCTATGGAAGCCAGACATTGAAAGAAACCTGTTGAAACTCAAAAGTATAAAGATCGAGCATTTGATTTTCAGAAAAAAAAGTGTCGAGAAATCTAGCCACCTGGCTTATGAAGCACGGAGATCTGGGAAGACAATTGAAATGTCTTTTGTTAAGTCATCACTAAATCGAATTGTTTTCATATTTAGACTTTTGCTTTTTTTTTTTAACTGACATCTCATGATAGCCTATGATATAGACAAATAATGGAAACAGGACAAAAGCTCCACCTCCACCCTGACCCTCCACCCTAAAATCATTCATTTCTAGGTGGCCAGATTTGCTTCCTCTGAACAGGCCTTCAGATTTTCCTTTACACCAGAATTGCAAACTGCAGGCCCCCATCTACCCAGAGATGTAATTTTTTTAGTCTGCACTAAACTCTCAATCAATTCACATAATTTATAACTGGAGAGATTTTATACAATTCAGAAGCTTTAGCAACATTTCTACTTTAGCTAACTGGTCGACATCCCTTTTCAGATGGAACTTTTTTGGCCAGCTCACCGCTGGACAGCTTCACTCATACGCACTGACTCCAGTCCTTTTAGGCTTTTAGATGGGTAACCCTTGCTACAAATAAACATGTACCACTGGTCCTGAGACTACCTTCCCCTTGGCTACCCCCCTCCACAGCACCCCGGTGGTTGTCAACTCTTGTTAAAAACCCATATGGTTTCCCACATCAGGCTGCTTCTTGTACAAAGAATTGGAAACAGAACATCAACTATCACTTCGTCTAAAGCAGATGGTGGGGCTTTTCCATCTTTATACAAGAGACTTTGTGCAAAGTTTCACTACAAAAGTACACTCTAAAATTATTGCTGTTCTATTGGATGGTGGTTCTGTCAGAGCACAGACATCCTTGACTGAATTTTCTGCCAATTGTAGTAACTTCATGGGAAACCAAAGTTTATAGGGAAAAAAAAGTGAGAAAAATAATTTCTTCTGTTTTCCAATAAAGTAAAATAATAAAAACAAAGAACATGGAACAAAATTGACATTTGGATCTGACTGTTTTTTTTAAAAAGCTGGTGAAGTTTTAGCTTGTCCTTGGGACACAAGAATTTTTACTTTCAAGCCTGGTTCACATGGGATTATAGAGCATGGGTATTAGTGAGTTGACTATCCATGTCCCTAGTTTTTACAAACAATTTAGCTTGACTGCTATGAAGTTGTGTGTTTGAACAAGCAGCTGCAACAGGAAATAAACTGAGGACTCTCTGGAACTTCTTGTTAATATCCAGAATTCACTATGATTGATATTAAGCTCAAGAAACCGAATTCCCCAAGAAACAGTCTCTTTTTGCCCTCTCAGTGGTTCTTTAGTTCAGAGCCCTGAAGACAGTGTTAAAACAAGGGAAATCCCGAAAGGAGATGTTTGTAGAGTACATCTCCACCATCCACTTTCAGTTTTGGGGGATTAAAGGAAAAAAACAGAGAAAAGGATACAAAGACCACCCTGATTATGAGCAGTAGGCTGTTAAACCAGATTTGCAACCCCTTCTTCTCCCATATTTCCACCTAATTTTGTCTTTCCTTTTATAGATACACTGGATACACTGGAATTTGAATTCATACAGCTTAATCTCTCTTGCAAGCTTCATCTAATGCCACTTAGATTTCTGTATTTTCCTTCCTCAGAGCTTGTAAGGAAGGTTGGGTTTGCTGGGCGATACATACTCCTATAAATGAAGTGGCTGGATCATTTGATTCTTAGCAGATTTTAGAAAATGAGACTAAGTTGTCCTTAATCCTGTGCAGTTTAGCAAGTCCAAATAGTAAAAATAAATTCAGTTTACAGCATGAAGGTACTGCTTGCTGGTCTGAAAGCCTTGTCAGAGAGGTTGCCTCGTTGGCATATCTAATTTATGCCATTTACATTTTGTTGTCATTTTCCTGTTTTCTCCTCTTGCTTCTTGATGTACCTTTTTTTTTTTTTTTTTTAAATGAAACATCCCTGAGTGGATACAGTGCAACATCTGCATCAAGCAGTGATTGTCATTTACAAAGCATGAAGTGAAAAGTACAGGTCATGGGTTCTTTCTGCCAGTGCACACTTACCATAGGTGCGTTGTGAACATTTGCTAGATTTCATGGGGAACATTTGCTAGATTTCATGGGGAAGGGACAAAGATTGCAGGTGATTATGAAAGCTGTCCTTACCAAAGTTTCAGAATACCTCAAGCTGCTCAAAGCATGGCTTTTAAAGATGTTTTGTTGCCTTTGAAAATAAGATTATGTTCTTTCTAAGGGACAGATGTGGCATCTGTGGCCAAAAGTGGAAATCTTTTCTCTCCTGAGAAGGAGGTACAGGTTTCTATTTTGCTGTGGTTCAGTTGCTAGCTGTTTCCTGTCCCTTAGCTTCAAAAGATTCATGCTATTCCAATGAAATGCTTGCACTAGTGGAAACGACACAAATTCAAATTCAGTACCTGCTGAGGCAAATGTGGGGAACAATCTTTTTCCTACATTGCCCATGGGACAAGGGAGGAAAAAATTCTAAGCCACTTCATCAATTGAGCCAATTTAAATCCTCTAAGGTAAATTGGAGGAAACAAATGATTCCCTTTGCAACTGAGCAGGAATTACAGGCTGACAATGGAAAACACTAAGCCAACAGAACAATGGAAACAAAGTTTGACATAAGTTCAAAGCTCAAAGGGAAACACCAAGTAGACACATTAAGCATCGCCTATCACAAGCCAATCATAAAACATACATTGCATTTGGAAACGGCTTGGTTTAATTGAGTGCCTTCCATTACCCTGTTTTCCTAGCAATCAGTAAAGTAATCTTTCCATTAGAAGGAAATATGACTCTTGGAATTAATTCTTTATACAAAGAGCTAGCAGGAGTGACATTTACACCAAAAAGAATTGAGTCCCTGTAGCAGCATAATAAGCAGTCTACAGCTGTCTTCTTAGACACTGAAGGTAATTTGGTTCAATGTTGTTAAATTAATTGAATATAACAGTAGTTGAGAAAGAGATTCATTATTTTAAAGCCTTTTTGTTTTTCCCCATTGATTTGGAACTCATCAATCATGAGGTGGGAAAAGACTGTTTTCTACAAGAAAAGACTATCACTATTGTTTGATATTAGTGAGAAGTTTTGTGGCATCGTGTTGACAGCTCTCAATGATGCGCGGTCACGAGACCAGTAGAGATTAAAAAAGTCTAAGTTTCCACTGATGGAAACTTTACAAAACAGGTGTACGTGTGTGTGCACAGGCTTGGGTGTTGTGTGAAAAGGAGAAAAGGACAGGTCTTCATGAGCTGGTGGCAGGGCCACACTTAGAAGAGGTCATCATTTTTATTGTCCTTAAAAAAAAAAAAAACCTCACTTTGGATCAGATCAGACTAAAGACACAAGGCCTCCAGAGGACAGACAGAACAAACTCCTTGGAATGAATGCTCTTCTGATGATGCACTCGATTGCAGAACAGGTGGAGAGGGAGAACTAGTGCTAGGAAGTCTGAATGTTTTAATCCTGATCTTTCCTCTTACATTCTGTACTTTGAAAAGTTGCTAAAATATAATTCCAGGCTAGATGGATGATACAATTATAAACTGCATAGGAAATAGTTTTGGCTTTGGGGTATATTAGTTTTATAGAATAACATCTTTTTTCCTAGTCTGCCAAGTTTTTGCTATATTTTTATAAGACAACATTTTGGAGTTGAAAAGCATAGAGGCCCAGACTAGAAGGACAAATAAAGTCCTGCATCCTCCTTTATTGCTTCTTTTTCTAACAAACTTATTAAAGAGAAGGAATATAAAGAAATGTTTTTTTATTTTCTGTATTTTCCTTCTACCTCTACTTTGCCAAAAAAAAAAAAAAAGAATCGAGAGAAAATGTTTATATGAAATGGCATTTGGACCCTGGGTTCAGATTTGCTCTTTGACTCTAATTCTATTAGAAAAATATGCTGGTGGTCACAGTTTACAGACTGTATTTCTCTGTTGATGACAGAATAAGCACCAAAATTAAGTTTTTTCCACAAATTAAAATCTGAAGAAAAAAGTATCTTATGTATCCTGGTGAAAAATAGGAAAAGTCTGTTGTTGGGTCAAAAAAGTCCTGGAATCCACAATATTATCTGTGGTCTGACTCTTCAAACAGGAAAATGGCTCCCAATACTTATTTTTACCCCAATACGTACCATCTTGACAAGGCTTTAATGTCATTGATAGAAATAGAGTTTTTATACAGAGGCCATGCATTATATTTATTCTTTTGTAGAATTACTTCTGAATTGGTACCATCCTGCCATTGACTATAGATGAAAACTCTGGCTGGGAAAACAAAATCCTGATTGTCTAACACAACTGTAACATATAACACAGAAGGTAAATAATATAAGAGCATGACTGAACCTCCATTGCTAGTAGGTATGGTATTTTAAGCCACAGAGCACGTGCATGTATAAGTAATAGTCATATATAATATTCTCAGATATTATATACTTATTACATACATGGCCAGTGCTTTCCAAGACAGCTATACATTTACACATGCATCAACTATCTAAAAACATAGAAATAGGTAAGCCTATTAAGTGGAATTTTCTTAAATTATATTTGAACAATCAACAGGAAAAGTAATCATGTAAAGTACCGCTCTGTTCTTGTATATATCTACAATAAAATTCTATAAACAATTGTCTCCCAAAACATACCCAAATAAAATAAAAAAAAGATAACACCCAGTGTCCTATATTGGTATATTTATGGTCATTTCAAAAACAAACAAACAATTAAAAGAGCCCCACTCAGGTGCATATTTACATTCTTTAAACTGTAGCGGTGAAAAATAATTCTATTAAGTGCAGGACATTCCTAATGTTGCAGTAGTGACATTTTTCTTAAGTCTTCATGAACACATTGCTTTTGTCACAATGGTGATGCATCCATGATTAAGAGACAGTTCTCTTGTCGCCTTCACTTGCAGACGGTGGAACAGTCAGGATTAAAGAGCTCCTTGTATAATGGAGGAAAGAGTGTATTCACTATGTCTGGATGTGATTGCTTAAATACCTGCAGCTTCTCCCCGTGCAAGTTGCAAACTGCCGTGATGGTTGGTATCTTGGCTATTAACTGCAGAATGGAGAGACAGGGAAGGAGACAAAGGGGAATCTCATTAGTGCGCTGTCCTCTGAAGCAATGTTCTTCCTGGCCACAGATGAAGAGAAATGGCTTTGGAATAAGATGTTCAGAAAGAAAGAAGGCTCACTGTCAGTTTCTCCTTAAGAGAGAAGAATAGCCGTTCAGAGCAAAACAAAATAAAACACCTCCCCGCCCTCCATCCTCTAAAGGGAAAAAAGAGGAAGAAAGAGAGCAGGTCCAAGAGGCCAGGTTCATTGTTTTTAAATGAAATACCAACAGGAGGAGGTTTGGCTCAGTCTTTAGGAGTAGGGTGCTCTGAGGCTGGCTGGCTGAGTGTGAATCCTGGTTCCACAAGAGCTCAGAGGCTGTGCCATACTGTATGTCTCAGTTTTCTCATTTGTAAAATGGGCTTACTAATAGTACCTATTCATAGGATTGTTACATGGAGAAGAGATAATTCTTTTAAAAGTGTTAATGAGCAGAGGAAAGAGTGTATTCACTATGTCTGGATGCGATTACTTAAATAGCTGCAGCTTCTCCCGGTGCAACTTGCAAGTACTCTTAATGAGCACTGTAGGAGTGAACACAATTGTGAGCTAATGTTATTATTATCCATTATTTCCCACAGATTTTTTGATGTGACTATTAGACGTTTAGTTTTGGCAGGTGACAGTAATAGGAAGGCACAACCTACTGTATGAGATGTAATCTGTAATTATCTGCATTGCTTTGCTGTGAGCGCCTTGGCCCACTGTAAATCATACAATGAAACAATGAATCAAGAGAGAGTTGGGAGGTCACTGGCCCTCAGCTTCCTTAAGGAGGGCTTTTGAACACTCTTGGGAAAATATCTACTTGTGATTGTCGATTTTGATATGTTTTATAATAACTTAAAATATCCACAAATAACTAATGCTATATAGGTGTTCAGAAATGAACAACTGTGGTTTTTAACATGATTTAGAAACACTTAGAATATGTCATCTAACTATCAAAATTAGCTTAAAAACAAAAGTCATTGTGATCAAATTACTACGGAAATAAATTATATTCTCATACAGAGAACACTTACGAAAATAGGCTTGATGGTTCATATAGCTAAGCAAAGATATACTTAAAGTGGTAATATTAAATAAAACCTGACTAATCACCAATGAAGTTCATTCACTTTACTTCCTATTCTATTAAAGAGTAAGAATTCATTTCAGCCTTTGAAGTAAGAGGAAATAGATAATTAGTTACTTTGTGGCTTTTCAAAATCAGAAATTTCCACTCTTTCATTAACTTCCCTTTTAGCAACTAATGACTATATAACCACACTACGAGAGATTTAAAAATAGCATCAGAATTAGAGCTGTTGACATATTCATTAAAGGGATGGAGAACACATAAAGAAGTCTGAGGTTCAGACTTTTCAACCTACCCATTTTCATTGCCATTAAATGATAGTACTAGAAATGAAAAATGTGGAATTTTTATTCATAGAATCCGTGTGAAATTTTAGACCGAGAATCAAGACTTTCTAGCCAACACTATAAGTTATCAATACTTAAACTTGTAGCAGGCACTCTGTGAAGACATCAAATGCACAAAAACAACGTGGCTCTTGCTTATCTATGTGGGAAGACAGATGTAAATAGTTACCACACAGTGCAAAGCAGACGGGAAAACTGTGGTGGGTACTAAGAAAGAACAGTGCAAGAAATATTAGGGCATTGTAGAGTACATGAAGTTTTCAGGCGTTTTTCACCTTCTCATTCCAGTGTGGATGCCTGGGCTGCTGGGCGTGGGCACAGGGCACGTGTGCCGTGCCTATGCTTATGGACACCTGGGCCCAGAGACCACAGGGCATGCGCATGTGTGAATGCTCACACCTGTGTAGAGGGGGTGATGGCTAAAAGAGCAGCGTCACTCTGAGGAGAGACCACGAGAGAGAACGCCAGAGAAAGGTCAGAGAAAGAGTACAATGATTCCTGGGGGCTGGGAGGTTTGGTTTCCTGCCTGCCTCCCAGCCCCCCTGCCTGGCTCAGGTCTGCTTCTTGGTGCCAGCCTCCCTGCCTGGTGTGACTGTGTAAATGGTTCCCTGAGAGAGCGTGAAAAAGCCCGTAAAATCCACCGAGGGCTCCAGGACACTCCTTTCCGTCTGCGGCAGTGAACCTGCCCTGTGCTTGCTTGCACTAGAAATATTCTGGCTGCTTCTGACAGGTCTTCCCTGAGAAAGAACCATTTCAGTGGAGCTCTGAAGGATGAGTGAGAGCTAATGAGGAACTGGGCGGGTCTCTGTGATTACCCCAGCATTAATGCATTGGGTATGGTTCTTGGTATATCAGAAATTCACTGTGGCAGGAGCAGTTAGTGTGTTCAAGGATAAAGCTGGAGGGGTGGGCATTGCCCGATTATGCAAAGTCTCACAGTCTACAGTAATGGCTTTGGAAGGGTTTTGAAGCAAGAAAAAAGAAAGATGAGTATTCCATTCTGAAAGACTGACTTTGAGTCCAGCTTGGAAAACTCTTCTCTGCTTTCATATGTGAAGAGTATACAAGTGTCCACTTAACTAGAGTCCTTTGGGAAATTATATAAGCTCCTTAGCCAACTGGTTGACATAGGAGACTCCAAAAATTTCACAACACTCCTTGTCCATTATAATTCTCCCTGAAATAGCTATTGAATGCAGAGAGACTTTGAAATGTTTCTACAATCATGTGCAATTGAGTTGATGATGTGCAGAACTCCTGAAACTGTAGCATGAGCTCTCTAATAACTGTTAACCTTTACTGCACACAAGAACCACTGGGCTGTTGGGGTTTACTCCTTGGGACTCTGTTTCAGTAAATTCAGGTGAGTTCAGACTTCATGTTTTGACTTTGAGAAACAGACTTTGAATTTAGATTCAAATCTAAATTTGCAATTGGTTTTCAAAACTGAAAAATAAATTCTTTATTGTTTTTGAAGGAGTTCTGGGAGTTGAATATAAAGTTAGCTCCTTTTCAGGAGGCTGACAAGGAAGTTGTCATGGCCAGAGAGGGAAAGTTTTTCATTTGCTACTTTTATTAGTTGGGTGAGGAACAAGTAATGAAATTCCTGTGTGCCATATAACACAAATAACATACAGGGAGGATTAGCCTCACCTTAAAAAAAATATGGACTTGGAAGTCTGACTGCCTGGGTTTGCATCTTCAACCTTGTACTTATGATTGTATGATCTTAGGCAAGTCACTTAACCTCTCAACTTCCTTACCTGACAGATGGCAATTTTAACCATCCCTGCCTCCGAGGGCTAATATGAGGGTTAAGTGGTTTACTACAAACTGTCTATAGCAGTACCTGGCACAGAGTAGCCATATATGAATTAGCTGGTATGCTTCCATTCCACATAATTCTTCCTTCAAAGGGAAAAATATTCAAGTCCACCCTTGTTCATCCAAATTACATGGAAGGCAAGAACCCAGCTTAGTCCTTAACCAATCATCAAAAATTAAGTCTGTATAGCATGTGTTAATACATGGCAAAACCAGTCATTTATTGATACAGAAATGAAAAAGCAACATCATATTGATTTTCATTTTCTGGTAGCAATTAAAGTCAGTTGCTCATTCAATAAAGTAGAATCCTAGGTACTACAATTCTTAAAGTATTCTCTGTTCCTTTAGAGAAAGGGTGGCATGGGAAACAGAATGTATGAAAGCATGACCAAAACCTTCTACAGTTGTTTATCTGCACTGGACATATTTAATAATGTGTTTGGTTTTGCGAAGTGAATGTTGACTCATGTCTTTCCTGCCCAAAAATGGGGTTTACAAAACATTTGGTTCAGGACCTAGTTTTTCCCTCTTGTAGGTTTTGGATCCTATTCCTGTTGCTCATCTGTAAAATGGGTTGAATGATGAGAAATGCTATTTGTTTAAAAGCATTGGGAGACGTTGAGCTAAGAGCACTAAGAAAGGTAAAATGCTTCCCGACCCTCTGTGCTCTTGGAAGAGGCTGATTTAAAGCCATCTATCTGCTGTAGAAATAGAAGTGCTGACTGGGGCATCCATCACTCTGGAGGCACAATGGACCAGTAGGCTCTGTGGAGGCGGCAGTAGCACTTGTCAGAGCCCAGGAGGGCCTGGTTGAGGAAGCAGCAGGCAGTCACTTATTGCTCATTAATATTATGCACTGCTGCTGGGGGACCCCCATTTCAAAGGGAGCTTAGAGCAGCCTCAGCAGCAGTTAATGGTTCTACAACTTTTCAAACAGCTGGGGAGGTGATCCAGAAGCACTTGGAGATGGAGGGGGTAGCTGATTTCAAATCATCATGACATTTCTTCATGTTTAAATAATCCCCATAACAGACATAGACAGAGGGTCTGTAAAAAGGCATTTTCACAGTCATCTCTTTCTTATGACTAGCATTTCCTAAAAGAAGGAAGCTTTAACTTATACCTACAGGGGTCTATAAGAATAAAAATCAACTGCTTGAGGAGAGATGATAATACTATTTTTGCTTTTCTGAGGATGATTTTATGAGGAATCACAATTTTGTAACATACACTTCCTGTTGGGAAAAAGGATCATTCAGAGGGTAAAACTAGTAATCTTGTTCATCGGGGCTTCCAGGTGCTCAAGAAGCCCTCCAACCTGAAGGAGGAATTCAACAATGGTTTGATCAAAGTGAAAGAAACTTCAGAAATATCAAGTGAGGCCAAATACATCTATGTCACTTGCCCATTCACTTTTTCTTGGGGGGGGGGGCTTTGTTTAACTAAATCTAGACATTTGGATTAGAATTATAATATCAAAACTGAGATATCAGTCCAGGTCATAAGCCCTCCCTGCCCCATTTATATTCTATTCTTGGCATCTGGTTGGATTGAATCTTCTTTTTACTCTAGCTAACTAAAGTGGAGGTGAACACGTGGTTCAGCTGGGGTTGGAGTTGGAAAATGTACAGAGAGCAATTTACTTTCCAAATACAACAGAAACCATGAAGAAGCTAACAATCTAAAACC